CTCCGCCGCCGCTCTCCGGCTGCCTCCGCCGCTGTTGACAAGGTCCTCCGAGAAGGGGCGGGCGGGCGGGCGGGGGGCAGACCACCCAGCCCCAAATGCTCTCCAAACTGGGGCTGTGGCCGCGGAAGTCGACGCTGGCCGTGCTTGGCGGAGATCGCCCCGAAGAGCTTGCAAAAGAACGTGCGGAGGGGATGGTGAGAGAGAAAGGGGGCAAAAGGACCGCGGCCCCCACCTGTAGGTGAAAAGTCCTTCCCTCCCGCGCAAGGGTCTGAGGGGGGCAGGCGCAGACTTTGCCGTCGCCGGGTGCCCCGGTCCGAGGCCCAGGGGGAGAGCCCCAGCGACGTCGGGGCCCTAGAGAGCATGGGGTTCTTTCCTCCGGAGGGAGGTCTCCATTTCGGACCCAAGCTCCGTCCCGGAAGCTGTTTGGAACTGCAGCTCTCCGCCTTGGGAGACGGCTAGCCGTGACAAAGGCATCTGGGCACGAACAGAGGGTTTTCCCTGGGCTAACGGGAAGCCCTTGCGAGCCGACCTTATTTCGAGCATTGGGAGGACTTTGGGGCGGAGGGGGGGCTTGGAAATAGGCGCGAGCCTTTTCCTACCACTCTTCATACACGTGTCTGAACACAGACAGGTCACAAACAGAAGGCCAGCGGGGGGGCGATTTCACCACCTGTGGCTGAGGGTGGCCACTCTTCAGTCACTGGAAAGTCGCTGGCGCTTCCTTGGTTCCAAAGGGCATCCACAGCACAACAAGCTTGCAAGGTGCGTCATTCTGAAAGACAGGGCCTCATTATTTTCTCCAGGATGCAGATTGGGGGGGGGGGAATGACCGTGACAGGTCACCCATCAGGCCAGTGTTGCCCCTAAGAGACAAGGACTTGAGGGCTCCGTGGCTCACCTTTCCCCCGCCAGCTCCTGAAGTGCGAGGACATTGGTAGGAATGCAAACCCTGTGCACACTTCCCTGCGAGTAAACCCCGTTGAACCGCAGTGGGACTGACTTATCGAGAAGGGGGAGGGGGCTAGGTCTTTCTTCCCAAGGAGGGGGCTGAGATTGCCAGGGAGAAACGACTGGCGCAATCTGATCCAG